ACTGTGTATATGAGTCATATAGTGATTATTATTTTATTCTGAGACAGAGTCTCACTCTGTTGCCCAGGCTAGAGTGCCATGGCATCAGCCTAGCTCACAGCAACCTCGAACTCCTGAGTTCAAGCGATCCTCCTGCCTCAGCCTCTGTGAGCAGCTGAAACAACAAGCATGTGCACAACACCCAGCTAATTTTTCTATTTTTGGTAGACGTGGGGTCTCACTCTTGGTCAGGCTAGCAAAGTGCTAGGATTACAGGCATAAGCCACCTCACCCAGCCCACATGGGGAGCTTTTAGAAATGCTGGTTCTGGTTTAGTAGGTCTTAGAGGGGGTGAGAGCGTGCAGAGTCTGTATTTCTCACATTAATTCCAGGGGAAGAGGCTGCAGGTTCTAGGCCAAGGACAGAATTTTCAGTGGCTTGGTCCTTGCTGAGTTTCTGGAGTCTATTCAGCTGTTGATCCTCCTGACAACGAGCCAGGTGTCTCTCTCCTAAATAACCCAGGCTGTGATGAATGGAGAGCATTTGAATCAGTGCAGAGCCGTGTGACAACCGTGTCAGGACCTAACGGGCACTGCATGATGGAGAGAGGGCGGAGGAGGGGGGACCGAGGTGGAAGAGAGCATCTTCTCTCCAAACATACGTGCCTACTCCACCTCCAGAATTGGGAGTCTGACAAACTGAATTTTATCAGACTGCATCTTGGAGAACTTTGATTATAAACTGACTTTGGGCTATTACATCAACCTCTCCGTGAAAAATTTTGGAAGCTGTGTATCAGATGCAGCAAGATAATTTTAGGCTGGGTGCTGTGGCTCACATCCGTAATCCCATCACTTTGGGAGGCCAAGGTGGGAGGATTCCTTGAGACCAGGAGTTTAAGACGAACCTGGGCAACATAGCAAGACACCTCCTCCCTTCTCTACAAAAAATTCCAAAAAGTTGCTGGGCATGGTGGTGCACACCTGGAGTCTCAGCTACTCAGGAGGATCACTGGAGCTTACGGTTGCTCTGAGCTGTGAGTATGATGCTGTACTGAAAGCCCACTTGGGTGACAGAGTAAGACCCTATCTCTTAAAAAAAAAAAGATAATTTTAAGTGGCCCATGAACTCTTTAGCCTGTGTATGGGCCATCAGCATTTTCCGATATCCTTAGTAGTTATGTCACCTTGTATTTATCATGAGAGTTTAGATGCTTGCTTTTGTCTGTGACCAGTCTATGTCATCATGGTTCTGTTCGTGGCCTCGCCTTCTTCCTTCTCATTACGTGGACAGGGGCCTGGAGATTCAGAGACTCAGCCAGAGATTCTGTCAGAAATGTAGCTCAACTATGTTGGGTCCTCAGTGTTAACCGTGTTTTCACTAGCACATAAAAATGTAAAGACCTGGGAAAAAATGTTTTTGAACCCTTCTAATCATTTCTTGGCGAACAAAGATTAGTATTATGGAGAGTATTTGTGATGTTTCCAGAATAGGAATCATTCTGATCCATGACAGATCAGTGACAGACAAATCATTGACAGATTCTGGAAAAAAATGCTAAGATGTTTAAAGTCTGTATTTAAAGATTTTTAAAAGAGATCTTTCTTAGTTTCTTGATTTTGAGAAAAAAGCTGGATATTTGCACAGTCTAATTTCCTACTTCAATAAGAGTGAGAAGATACTAACAAAATAATCTTTGGGCGCGACGTGATGTTGGTTAATGAATTGCCTTTCTAGCGAGAGTGAGAGCACGTTAATAGCATGTTTTGTGATAGAACTTGAACTTGTGTTTACAAGGAAAAATTGAGAACATTTAGTTTTCTTAGATTAATTTTCTATAAGCTTTCTAAAAAAAACATGATTGGATTTTCTTATATTAAAATAATAGGCATTAATTATGCAAAGGTTTTGGAAAATATGGAAAATTTAAAAAGCAAAATAAAAGTCATATATAATTCTCAACATGAAGAAATAACATATTGGTATATTTCACATCTTACAATGTCTGTCTGGTTTTGAGACCAGAGTAATGCTGGCCTAATAAAACAAATTGGGAAGTATTCCTTCTTTTTCAATGGTCTGAAGGAATTTGAATAGAACTATATTACTTCTTTCTTAAATATTTGGTACAATTTATCAGGTAAATCTTCTGGGAATTTTTTTTTTTTTTGGGTGGGAAAGTTATCTCTTTGTTGAGTGAATTATGGTTGTTTTGGACATAGATTTATCAAGTTCATCTAAGTTGGTGAATTTATTAGCTCAAATTTGTTTGTAATATTTCCTTATTATCCTTTTAACATCTGTGGAATCGCTATCTTTCTTAATATTAGTAATTTGTGTCTTGTTCATTTTTTGGCTAAAAACCAAAAGTTTACCAATTTTGTTGGCTAAGAGTTAATTTATCAACATGGCTAAAGGTATATCATTTTATTAATTAAAAAAAAAAAACCTTTGGTTTAATTAATTTTTCTCTAATTTTTTTCAGCTTCTTTCTTTCTTTTTTTGAGGTAGGGTTTTACACGGTTACCAAGGCTAGAGTGCAGTGGCATCATCATAGCTCACTGCAACCTCAAACTCCTGGGTTTTAGCGATCCTCCTACTTCTGCCTCCCAGGTAGGTGGGACTATAGGCACACACCACCATAGCTAGCTAATATTTTTATTTTTGGTAAGATGGAGTCTAGTCTTGCGCTTGCTCAGGATAGTCTTGAACTCCTGACTTCAAGTGATCCTTCCTCCTGGGCCTCCCAAAGTGTTAGGATTATAAGTGTGAGCTGTCACCCCTGGCCCCAGTTTTCTATTTGGTTGATTTCAGCCCTCATTTTTTCACTCTTTCTTCTACTTAATTTGGGCTTAATTTGCCTAAGATGAGGGTACAATTCATTGATTTGAGGGGATCTTCTTTTCTCCTATAGGGGTTCTCTGCTATACATTTTCCCTAAATACTGTTTTAGTGTCTTTCCATACGTTTTCATATTGCTATATCCTTTCACTACAAAATGCATTCTAATTTCTTTTTTGATTTTTTTTCTTTGATCAGTGGGTAATTTAGAATTGTGTTACTTAGTCTAAAAATATTTGGACATTTTTCAGAGATATTTTTATTGTTAAATTTGGAAGTTAATTCCATTGTGGTTAGATAACATACTTTGTATGAATCCTGGTGACCGTATTGTTTTCTGACCCAGAATTTGCTCCACCTTCATAAATGTTCATTGTAAACTTAGAGGGGAAAAGTTGTGTACTACTGTTTTAGAGTGGAGTATTCTAGAAATGTCCATTAGGTCGATTTGTTTGGTGATGTTGTTTATCTTCTATCCATAGTATCCTTATTGATCTTCTGTGCACTTGTTTAATCAGTTATTGAAGAGAGGTATTTAAATCTCTGAGGCTAATTTTGGATTTGTCTCTTTCTCCTTACAGTTCTGTCTTGAATTGTACATTGTGAGCCTTTTTAATTAAGCACATAAATGTTTAGGATTGTTATGTCTTCCTGACCAGCTAATCACTATGAAATGTCTTTCTCTATTCCTGTTATTTATTTTTTGTTCTGAAACTTTCTTGTTTGATATTAATATAACCACTCCAGATTTCTTCTGATTAGTGGTATCGTGGTATATCTTATTCCATTCTTTTAAACTATTTGTGTCTTTATGTTTATAAAGTACATTTTTGTTGGCAGCACATAGTTGTTTGGTCTTGCTTTTTTTGTACAATCCAACAATCTCTGCCTTTCAATTGGGGATGTTTAGACCATTTATTTTTAATGTAATTATTGATATGGTCAGATATAAGTCTATAATCTTTCTACATACATTTGCTCCATATGTTCTTTGTTCTCTTTTTCTTTTTAGTTGCCTTTCTTATTATTAGTACTTTTTTTTGGCAGTTTTTGGCCAGGACTGGGCTTGAACCCACCACCTCCAGCATATGGGGCTGGTGCCCTATTCCTTTGAGCCACAGGCGCTGCCCTATTATTAGTATTTTTTACAATTCAGTTTTACCTGCTTTATTGGTTTATTAGCTATAACTTTTTGTTTTGCTATGTTAGAGTTTACTTTAGAGTCTATAGTATAGTCAACCCTTTGTATCCATGGGTTCCACATTTGTGGATTCAACCACCTGCTGGTCAAAGATATATGAAACCAGAATTGTGTCTGTACTGAACATGTCTAGAGTTTTTTCTTGTCATTATTTCCTAAATAATACAGCATAATGTCTACTCAAATAGCATTTATATATTGTATTAGGTGGTACAAATATGATATGATTTATTTAAAATATGTGAGGGGATCACACGGATTATATGCAAATAATGCCATTTTATATCGGGGTTTGAGTATCTGCATATTTTGGTGTGTAAGAGGTGTCCTGGCCCCAGTCCCCCGTAGATACTGAAGGATGACTATATTTACTTAGAGTACTGTTAGTGCTCGATAAATATTTACCGAAAGAACAAATAAATGCCTCCCTGGTGCCTCGACCACAGGCCTACTGAGGCCATGGTCTTGTGCTACCAGATGATTAATCTTTTCCAACTTTTAATTTTTTCCTCTTTTATGCATGTTATTTATGGATATTGGCTCTGATCTTCTGGTCTTGATGCTAGCCTCCTGAGCTTAGACCTCTGTGACCTCTTTTCTTCTACTCCCTTAATGCTTTGGTAAATGGGGACATTGTCCTCAGGTGGGACTTTCCTCAGGCTTTTTGGAAAGATGTGTTGGTTGCATCCTCCAGATGAAAGAAGTTGGGGTACTGATTTATTGTGGCCAAGCCCCCTAAAGTAAGACATTGTTATCAGGAAGGACAGTAAGTAGGAAAAGAAAACCTTCCAAGAAGTGATGTAAGTTCAGCTTTAGCTGGTCTAAGCCAAGCTGCACACAGCTAGGAAATTCAGGCCTAACAGGTCTTTACCATCTTGGAATGCCACCAATTTTTCCAAGGCTCTTAATAATAACAAAATTGAACTTCCTGATTTAAAAAAGAGAAATTTATGCTCTCTGTTTCTTTTTTCTTTTCCAGCAAGTAACCGGGAGAAGCTTTGGTGATAAAGACTTTCGGACAGGGTTAGAAAATGGAATTCTTCTGTGCGAGTAAGTATAGCCTATATCTAGTTCATTTTATTGAGGAAACATCATCAATATTATTCAGTTTGTCTATCATGCTTTTACTGTTTTACTTTGAATTTATTTATTGTTTGAATATGAAACTGAAAAAAATCACTGGGCTAGGCAGGAAACAAGCAGGTCAGGGAGTCTTTGTGTATAGTAAGGAGTGGTGGAGACTGTGGCAATCCCATGCTAGATTAAGGAGAATCTGGTAGCTGCTACCTAGCTCCAGTCAACTGTTAACTATGTAGGAATTTGGGCTAGTGTAGTTGTAAGGATGTGGACCTAATTGTAGTAAAAGTAGCAGCTTTTCTTTCCCTTTTCATCCCAAATAAAGGCAGATTGTGCCAAGTGAAAAAAGCATATACTTTTTTCTGTATACTTACAACATCTCAGAAGCCTGCCAGCTAATGTTTCTTACTAGGCCTGCATCACTGAGTTTTTTTGAACATGTTTAATTTGTGGTGCTGGCAAAATTCAAATGTGAATGATGACTGCAATATTTAATTTTTATGCTTTGAAGAATTAAGAGCTCTTGTGGTTTCTTTCTTTTCCTTCTTTTTCCTCCCTCTCTCCCTCCTTTCTTCCTTATTTCCTTTTTTCTTTCTTTCTTTTTTTTTCCTTTGACAGAGTCTCACTCTGTCACCCTGGGTAACATCGTAGGTCACAGCAACCTCAAACTCTTGGGCTCAAGCGATTCTCATGCCTCAGTTTCCCAAGTACCTGGGACTACAGGCACCAGCCACAGCACCTGACTAGTTCTTAATATTTTTTAGTAGAGACCAAGAAATGGGGCCTGGCTTTTGCTCAGGCTGGTCTCCAATTTCTGAGCTCAAGCAATCTGCCCATCTCAGTCTCCCAATGTGCTAGGATTACAGGTGTGAGCCATCGTGCCTGACCCTCTTTTGTGGTTTTATTATTTTTTAATTAAATCATAACTCTGTATATTAATGCATTTATGGGGTACAAGTGCTGATTTTATATACAATTTGGAATGCTTGCATCAAACTGGTTAACATAGCCTTCACCTCACTTAATTTTTGTGTTAAGACATTTATACTCTACTCTTGATAGATTTGACATGTACCCTTGCAATATCTCTTGTGGTTTTAGATACAAAATAAGCTAGAGCCTTATAAATGGTGGCCCATAAATGTCAACATTCAAAAACTTGAATTTATTTAACACGTTCTGTAATTTGTGTGCCCGTTTTTGTTTCATTGAGATGAAACGTTCATATAATGAAATGCACTGTCCCTTTGTGTACAACCCGATGGGTTTTGAAAAATGTGTACGTGTGTGCAACCTGTATGGTAAGCAACATATAAAACAAAAAATTCCATCATGCCCCTTCCCACTCAATCTCAGCCCCTGGAGACAAACACTGTTCTGATTCTTATCACCGTAGCATCTACTTTGCCTTCTCCTGAACTCATATAAATAAAATCACAGAGAATAGGACTCTTCTTTTAGCAACCTTCAGAATATTATTTGGGACATACTGATGAGTTTTGGAGCCTGAGGACTAGAGATTCAAGTCCTTACCTTTCCCCTTCAAACATTTAGCCTCCTGGAGTCTCATTTTTTTTCTAAAATAGCAATAAAAAATTTATAACTCTGCCTGTTTCAGAGGCTCTTTGTGAACCTCAAAAGGATAATGTGACCAAGATGCTTTAAAAGACTGTGCAGTGCTGTGTGGATGTGGACTGTGGGCAGAATCCCTCAGCATAGCTCATGGCAGCATTTTTTTTCCTGCCTCCCCACTGCTCTTCTTTCTTTAAAGGAAAATGCCTCTCTTTTGTTTGCTTTTGCCATACTCTTCTTCCTATGAAGTGTCTCCCCTCCACTCACACTTTGTTTCCATCAGCCCCACTTTTCCCTTTATTGTGTCTAACTCAGAGCTCATCTCTCAGGTGAGCTGCAGTTAGTTTCGCCCCTCGGCAGAGACGGGCTCAGACAGGCTTCCCATGCTTCTGTTCTTGCACTTGCTTTTCCAATGATTCTGGGCTTAGCCCTTTTCTGATGTGAATGCACTAGCCAGAATCAGATTTAATTTATGTGGACCATGCTGGCTCATTTGAAGTGATCCTTTGGTACCAATTTTTGTTTACCAAACATTTGCTCCAGTGATGCTTATGGGCACCCACCTCTCTGCTGCGTTCCCATGAATAAATCTGTCACAGAGTCATATGCTTACCTGACTTTGGATTCTTAGCCCTTTTCTAAAGATAGGGCTCTGCTACTAGAGGTATTTACTTATGTAGAATTTATTTCTTACCTAGGTGTTGAGTTAGAGCAGTGGTTCTCAACCTGTGGGTTGCAGCCCCTTTGGGGGTTGAACGACCCTTTCACAGGGGTTGCCTAAATACATCCTGCATATCAGATATTTATATTATGATTCATAACAGTAGCAAAATTACAATTATGAAGTAGCAACGAAAATAATTTTATGGTTGGGGGTCACCACAACATGAGGAACTGTATCAAAGGGTTGTGGCATCAGGAAGGTTGAGAACCACTGAGTTAGAGGATGGTATCTCCTGATGTATGCAGGGCACTATCCACTGACTGGTCTTCTGAAAACCCATGAGTAAATATAGGTGTAGGATAGAGCTTTAGGTGAAAAGTGCTGGGCACTAGGGACAGAGTGATCTGGCCCTGAGTACTAAAATCAGTACTCATTAGACACGGAACACTGTCTCAGCACTAAGTCATATTCACCAGTGATAAGAAAAAGGCAGGACAGGAGTGCAGTAAACAGAATGTGTTAAGAATTCAATCCTGCAGTTAAAGATAAACTCCTTCTCTGCTGTGCTGTATTTTTTCATGCCTGAGATTTCAATAAAAGCCAGTGAGGAACATTGGAGGGGGCCACACCCTTGTTTCTCCTTGTGGAGAGCTTGCTGGTGTTGGCCTCCCTGGGTCCCTCAATTCAGTGAAAGAGGACTGAGTAGGTGTGTTATTTATTTTGCATCAAGTTGCATTGAGGGCTTGTTGGGATGGAGAAGTGGATTTTAGGTCCAGGCCATGGGTAGGAAATAGCATGGTTGGAACAACGTGGAGGCACAGATTGTATCCAGGGGCTTTTTATGATAAAGAAAGGGCTTGGGGCTCGGCACCTGTAGCTCCATGGCTAGCGTGCCAGGCACATGCTGGAGGGTTAGAATCCACCCCAGGCCTGCCAAACAACAATGACAACTATGGCCAAAAAATAGCCAGGAGCTGTGGCGGGTGCCTGTAGTCCCAGCTACTTGGGAGGCTGAGGCAAGAGAATCGCTTAAGCCCAGGAGTTGGAGGTTGCTGTGAGCTGTGACACCATAGCACTCTACCAAGGGTGATAAAGTGAAACAATGTCTCAAAAAAAGAAAAAAGAAAGAGTTTGGATTGCTGATAAGCTGGGGGTGAAGCTGAGGAAAATGGCTGCATTGGACAATAGGCAAATGTTGCTGCCTGGGTAGGTAGGATAAAAGCTGAGACAAGCTGGGCATGGTGGCTCACACTTGTAAACCTAGCACTATGGGAGTCGGAGGTGGGAGGATTGCTTGAGATCAGGAGTTCAAGACCAGCCTGAGCAAGAGTGTGACTCCATCTCTGCTAAAAAAAAAATTAAAAAATTGGCCCCTGCTTGTAGTCTCAGCTACTGGGCAGGCTGAGGCAGGAAGATTACTTGAGCCTAGGAGTTTGAGGTTGCTGTGAGCTATGATGATGCCACAGCACCCTACCCGTGGCAACAGAGTGAGATTCTCTCTCTAAAAAATAAATAAGATAAAAACTTGAGATAAGTAAGTTATTATCTAAGTCCTCTAATCTTAGAGGATTAGACTCCTGGTGTACATAGGTTATTATGAAAGTTTTGGTAACATCCACAGGAACAGAAACAAATGCAGCCTCCTGGCAGCACTGATGCCTGAGCACATTGAAACTCGCATGGTGGATCAGAAAGGACACTGTCAACTGTTTCTTGAAAGTGAAATAATGGACCATCACAGTCTATCTCAAAACTTTTGTATTGACCGAATGTCTTTGAAAAAGCATGCGTTTTGGAGCCTAAGATCCAGGATCAGATTCTCACCTGGCACTCCTGACAAAGAGTTTGCTGAGGAGGAATGAACCCTGTAGGTAGCCTGAGGGCAGGAAAGCCAGCAGCATGAGCCCCAGCCAGGCCTGTAAGAGAAAGTGGGTGAGCAGCCAGAGAACCAGCCCTGCCCAGGTTTCTAAGTGCAGAGTTCACACAGCAGTGAGAACCCCATCCCTGACTGACAGGGACTGTGTGCAGTGAAGGCTGGGAACAGTGGAGGGAGGAAGTGGGTCTCCTTCCTCACCTTGATGGCCAGGTTTTGTCTAAGTTGAGAATATTGGGCTCCCGTAGACTGACATTACCAGCTATGTTTTCCAGGACTTGGGTCCCGAGGCCAATCTAGCAAGAAAGGGTTTGTGGGATTGTTTGATGGCAGAGCCTAAAAGCCAGGAAACTCATCTTGGGGGGCCCTAGGAAAGTGGAGGTCCCCAGATTCCTGTAGACCCACACAGGTTCCAAACACCTGTCTTTAGAGAGTAGATGGGAATGCCTAAGGCTGTCCCTGTCTCTAGAACCAGAGCGGGTTTTGTGGATGCTGGTGATTAAGGAATTCTGACTCCTAGTTACCCCACACCACAGCAATGTTTGAAAATAATAAGAATGCTCCATGATTTCAAAGTTTGAAAACTAAGCAGTTCAGGTCTTCTTAGAACGAGGCTCTCATAATATGTAGCTCTCTTTTTAAAAATTATTTGGAGCTTTTCAGCTTTGTGTTATTCAAAATAGAAGCCCAGTTGGCATCTTAGAACAGTGTTACAACCCCACTTGGCAAATACGTGAACAGCATTGTTAAATTCTCTCTTTTGTTCAACAAACTCTCATCTTTTTGTCTGAGTTGGATCTCCTGTCAATGTTAGTTGCAATTGTGTACAGACACATGCTTTTTGTTTGCTTAAAAATTTCCTGG